GAGAGGGAGTTGGCCGAAGGGCGAGGTGACCGCGTCATCCAGGTCAGGACCAGGACCCCCTTCACTAAAAGGGTGCTCTCGGCCCCCATCCCGGAGAAGTATAGGAGAAACGCCATCAAGTCCTACGACGGCCGATCAGACCCCCAGGAGCATTTCAGCCGCTACCAGAATAAAATGTTGATGGTGAACGCGTCAGACGAATATCTCTGCCGTTGGTTCCTCTCCACTCTTGAGGGGCCGGCGTACGAGTGGTTCAACGCGCTTCCCGAAGGAAGTATTGACTCATGGCAAGACCTTGCCCAGCCCTTCCTCACCCACTTTGCCGGGAGGAAGCGTGCGAAGAAGTACTTCACCCATCTCCTCTCCGTCAAGCAGCAACATGATGAACCCCTCCGGTCATTTATTGATCGGTGTACGAGGGAGACCGAAGAGATCGAGGGGGCCGATGAGCGCACCCTCCTCGTCCTTTACTAGGGAGCCCTCCGCAGCTCCCCGTACGCCAGGAGCCTCATCACTGACCCCTCGAGGTCGTATGCCAAGGCGCTTCAGCGCGGGAGCTTGTACGCCGACGCCGACGAGCTCCACAACCACAAAAGAGAGGGAGGCCATCCCTCCAAGAAGACAAATCCTTCGCCGGCCCCGGGACCATCCCCGGCCGGCCAGGGTGCCCAGGGCCGTCACAGCTCTGGTGGACAAAGCAAGAAAGACCGCCACTGGTGGCCGAGGTTGGAACGGCCGGGGGTCCCCCTCACCCACCCGGTCAGCACCATCTTCGACTACGCCGAGAAGCATGGCCTCATTGAGCAGGCTCCTCGCCCGGCCGAGGAGGTTCTTGCCATCCAGCAAGGCGGCACATATTGCCGGTTTCACAAGAACTCCTCGCACAACACCGACGACTGCATTACGCTGAAGAAAGCCATCGAGCGCCTTATTCGTCAGGGGGAACTCTCCCAATTTGTTAAAGGTGGCCCGCGCAAAAATACGTGGGTTAACACCGGCAAACCTGGGGGCGAACCCTCTACGAAGAAGCGGGAGATCGGTAGGCTCAGCGACGACGAGGACTTTGAGGAGCCTCTGCCAAAGAAGAACCATATTCACCTCATCGTAGGTGGGAATATCGGGGGGACTCCGCCACCCAGAGGAAGAAATGGGCCCAATCCCTTTACATTGGGGAGATGTCCCACGTCCCCCCCCCCCCCCCCCCCCCCAGCCGAAGAAGCGGCGAACGGAGGCGATCACCTTCACCGACAAGGATCTGCCTCCGGGTACGGAACCGCACAGGGACGCCCTCGTCATCCGGTGTGAGATCGGTGACTCCATCATCCACCGTACTTACATCGATACGGGGAGCTCCGTCAACGTGATGTACCTGAACACCTTCAAGTAGCTGAAGCTGGACAAAGCTCTGCTGAAGCCGATCAAGACACCGTTGTCCGGCTTCACTGGGGACTCTATCGACGCTGAGGGCACGATAGTACTCCCCGTGGAGGTCGGCGACGGCCCCCACCGCGCCAAAATTAACATGGAGTTCATGGTGGTCAACCTCCAGTGCGCCCACAACCTGATCTTGGGGCGGCCAGCACTGGAGGATTTGGAGGCCATCATCCCTATGAAACACTTGTGTCTGAAGTTCCCCACCAATGGCGGCATCGGCTACGCCAGAGGAAACCAGAGGATAACCAGAGCATGCTACCTCAAGCTAACAAGGCCGGCCGAGAGGGAAGGACAGAGAATAGACACCATCACAGCGGCCGCTGCCAAGGACGAGGAAAGGCCGCATGCCGAACCGGCCGAGGAGGTCGAGGAAGTCCCTCTGGATACCTCCCGGCCGGAGCGGGTCCTCAAAATCGGGAAACAACTCCCACAGGACCAGCGGGACGCCATCCTCCTCGTCCTACGGTCATACGTCGTCATCTTCGCGTGGGGCCCAGACGACATGCCAGGCATCAGTCGACAGGTGATCACCCACCGGCTGACCGTCGATCCAGCCTCCGCGCCTGTCAAGCAGAAGCGGCGCTACTTATCCGCCGACATGCGGGACTTCGTCAAAGGGGAGGTCGCCATGCTCCTCTCAATCAACCACATCAAGGAGGTGAAGTACCCGACGTGGCTAGCCAACATCGTCCTCGCCCAAAAACCGCCGACATTCAGAATGTGTGTTGATTACACTGACCTGAACAAGGCGTGCCCCATGGACCCGTTCCCTCTCCCCAACATTGATCAGTTGGTGGACGAGACGACGGGATGCGAGTTGATGTCGTTCCTTGATGCTTTCAGAGGGTACCACCAAATTTTCATGCATGAAGATGACGCTGAGAAGACGGCATTCATGACCCCGGAGGGAATTTTTTGCTACCTCGTCATGGCTTTCGGACTAAAAAACTCTGGCGCCACCTATACCAGGATGGTGGCCAAAATCTTTAGAGCAATCCTCGGCCGGACGATGGAGGCATACGTCGACGACATGATTGTCAAGAGCAGGCAAGCCACCACACATGCTGACGAACTCCGGGGCGTCCAAGCTCCGCCTCAACCCTAAGAAGTGCGCCTTTGGCGTCCAAGGTGGCAAGTTCCTCGGCTACATGGTCAGCCGGAGAGGCATTGAAATAAATCCAGAGAAGATACAGGCTATCATCAACATGGAGCCACCCCGCAACGTCAAAGAGGTACAACGGCTGACAGGGCGACTGACGGCCCTGAGTCGTTTCCTCTCCAAGTCAGCCGAGGGGTCACTCCCTTTCTTCCAGATCATGCGTAAGGCAAACAGTTTCAAATGGACGACGGAGTGCCAGGAAGCATTTGAAGAGCTGAAGAGGCTCCTTTCGTCCCCACCAGTGCTCTCCAAGCCCAAGGCCGGCGAAACCCTCTTCTTGTACTTGGGTGTGAGCACGTCGGCCATCAGCTCTGTGCTCATCCGTGAGGACGAAAGGGTGCAGAAGGCCATTTTCTACATCATTAAAACACTTAGGGAGGCCGAGCTCAGGTACTCCCCCATTGAGAAGACGGTACTAGCCATCGTCCATACGGTGAAAAAGCTGGGGCACTACTTCCAGGCCCATGTCGTCCATGTACTGACCCAGCAACCCCTTGGCGCACTCATGAGGAGCCCCACTAGCTCCTCAAGGATGGTGAAATGGGCGATCTTCCTCAGCCAATTTCATATTGAGATCAAGCCAAGGCCATCCATCAAAGGGCAAGCCTTGGCCGACTTCGTCACCGAATGCACGGCAAGGGAGACAACCGCTACCACCCCCCGGGCCAGAGCCTGATGACACATGGATCCTCTTCACCGACAGCTCATCGGCCGCGAAATCATGCGGCGGCGGCGGCGTCCTCATATCCCCTGAAGGATTCGGAGCTTACTATGACATCCGCTTCAACTTCAGGGTATCCAACAATGAAGCTGAGTATGAGGCCCTCCTCAGCGGCCTCAGACTTTCCGCTGGCCTCAAATCAGGCACATCAGAATCAGGTGCGACTCCAAGCTGGTAGTGGGCCAGGTTGAGGGTACGTACGAAGCAAAGGAAGGCCGGATGAAGCAATACAAACAGGCGGCAGAGGAGTTGCTGAAGGCGTTCGAAACCCACGAGATCACACAGATCCCAAGGGCCGAGAACGCCGAGGCCGACATCCTCTCCAAACTCAGCTCGGACACTCCGGAGCACATCTCCCAGTTAGCCAAGATCAAGGAGCTGAGCATGCCCAGCATCCATGCCAGCCCCATCTTGTGCATCCAACAACGACCGGAGGACTGGATCTCCAACATCACCACTTTCATCACAACGGGGGAGCTACCCCAGGACGAGGAGAGGGCCAAGCTCGCCAAAGTCAGGGCCCCAAGATACACCATTGAAGATGGCAAACTCTATAAACGATCCTATAATGGTACTCTCCTCCGATGCCTACACCAGGACGATGCCGATGTGGCCGTGGAAGAAGTTCACTGCGGTGTTTGCTCCTCACACCAGGGCCCCTTCAGTATGTCCCGACGTCTCGTCGTCCAGGGCTATTTCTGGCCGACTATGGCGCGGGATTGTGCGGATCTAGCAAGGAAATGCACCACGTGCTAGGTGCTCCAGAAGGCCCCTGGTCGGCCAGCCGTCAACTACGCCCCCGTCAGCACTGCAATTCCCTTTTCGCGATGGGGGATTGACCTGGTCGGCCCTCTACCCAGAGCTGCCGGCAACAACCGCTACATCATCGTCGCGGTCGACTACTTCACCAAGTGGGTCGAAGCGGAACCTTTGGCCAGCATCACGGGGGCTAGGTGTCAGAAGTTCGTTCACAAGAACATTCTCACCCGTTTTGGTGTCCCCCAGGAGATCATATCCGACAATGGCACCCAGTTCGAAGCGACGTGTGACACTCCGAAAAGTTTAAATAAAATAAATAATTTTATTAGTACGATAAAGTGTTATTTTAATAATTAAGTGAATTAGATTGGTGACATTTTTTTTAATCAGATAAAAATGCTTCAATAATAAAAATGACAATTTAAGAAGTTTTAAATCATGATGGTATAAGTTAAATTTAATGTGTACAAAGATGACAACGTAGGTACATAATACATACACGTACAGTATTGTACGCAACACAATTGCGGAGTAATAACAAAGATTAAGTTGACTTTTCAAAGGCACGCTTATAAACAAAATATGTAGTATACAGTATGTAACAACTTACCTAAAATACAGTTACGTATTAACCAAGAAGTAAACCAAAATACTACTCCTTAACATTAAAAACAAATATAGGCGACCAACTACGTTACAAACTCTACGCATCAGTTATAAACCAGCAAAGGAAAGATTTTAAAAATAAAGGAGGAATATCACCAAACGTATGAAACGATAAGCTCGTGCGTAGTATCCAACGCTCAAAACCTCAAACTAATCGGATAAACCATAGAAACGAAACTTTGGGATCTGAAACATAAGCTTGAACCTTCAGCCACACCTATAAATATCAGCTTCAGACCTGCAAATTTTTCCACCCCAACCCAAAGCTCTACGCACGCATATACATATATATGTATATATATGTGTGTGTGAAAAACGCAACCCTTTGCTTTTGCCAAAAACCAGAGCTTTAAACACCCTAAAAATCTTCCCCTTCGAGAGAGGAATTCAACGGTGAAAGAATCGTTGAAAACGAACGTCGGAAGAAGGAGAACAAGCTCGCCGGGCTGATTTTGCGACGGGAAACGGAGCAGGGAAAACAAAGCTGCCATCACCGCCAGTCCATCACCGACCACCGCTGCCCCAGAACTAGCCGATAGCACCGCTGTTTCGCTCGTCCGAGGAGGTAAAATTTTTCCCATGCGTTTTGCTCTCCTCCGGCGTTGCAGCGAAGAAGACAACCCAGCTTAGCTGAGGTCTGTCTTTTGGGCCAGCAGCTATTGGGCTGTTTCTTTTATTTTATTTTATTTTTGGGCCAGTCCGTCCCGTCCCAGTTGCAATAAAAACTTAAAAATAAAATAGTAAATGAAATAAATAAAATCAAGAAAAATATAAATTTAATACCTAGTATGACTATACGTATTTGGACCAACCAGAATTGAAAGAAACTATTTTTAGCTATTTTTAATTGATTTAATTGTAATTGGGCCAATTTGTACACATTTAGTAAATAGTTAACTAAATGATGAAAATAATTATGAAATACATGTTAGGGTAAACTAGAATAAATATATGACTAACTAGGAGCTTAAGGACCATTTATAATTAATAAAAATTAATATTTAGTATATTTAATTGTAATTGAACCGGTTAATAGATATATGAAATTAAATGAATAATTAAGGAAAATAATTATAAAATAGATATCTGGGCAACCTAGGTCAAATATAGACCCAAAATATATTTATGGACGGTTATTAATTTATAAAGTCAATTCTTAGGCTATTTAATTTAATTGGGCCATATAAAACTAGTTAAGTAATTAAATAAGAAAATTTTAATATTAATGGTGAAATAAATACATCAATGAGATTTAAAATAATATTCTGGACAAAAAAAATGATTAGTTTATTTAAATAAATTTTTATAATAGTCTAATTTATTAATAATGTTGAGTAATTTGAATAGTTTACTTAAAAGAAAATAATTCAGATATGTTCCCTATATTTTAATAAAATTAAAATATAATTAATGTTTTATAAGTAAAGTAAATTAATGGTGATTATTAAATTAAAAAATGGATGTTGTAGTTAATTATAGTCGGATATTTTATTTAGGTTTAGAATTCAAATATTGTAATTAATGGTGAAATTAATAAGGTATTTGATTAATAAAAGTGATTAACTCGAATAATTAATTAATTAAATTAATAAATTCGAATAAAAGAATAAAAAGGAGAAAAATCGGCTAAAATTATTACAAATTGAATTAATGACTAATTATATCATCTTAATTAAAAAGGTGATTATCTAGAGACCGGATTAGAGGAAGATAACTAGGAGCATCAGGACTTAAGGTAAGTTTCTCTGCCAATCCAAAATTGTTTCCTCGTATTATATGCTTATTATGCATTATGTGATTAAGTGTAAATTTTAAATGTGTACTATTTTGGACGACTAAGAATTTGTGAAATATTGGAGATATATTTTGGGATTTAATCCCTAGTATGACTTGGAGTGAATTTTTATGTAAAAGAATTTTGGAGTTTTTATGAATTTTGAATTGTGTGTATGTGATTTTGAGGAATACAAATTAAAAGTACTTTTTGGGGTATTAAATATTTTTAAATACCTTTGAGACTATTTAGAGAGATTGAGAAATATTTTTGGAAGCATATCTTGATTCATGATAAAATTAAGGATTTTATAAGAAGTGAGCACCCGGGAGAAATCCGTGGTGTCGGTTTTTCCACATCCGGATAAATGTGGAGAGTGGTTAGAGCTATATACCGCGGGTTTAGTTTAGGTTGATTATTGGTGGCGGGAGAAATTCCGGTAAATATTGGTGGCGGGAGATTCCCGGTATTTCTTTTGAGAACTTTAAAAGTTCTTTGGTGGCCGCGGTAGTAGTTTCTAATTACCCGGGTTTCTAACCCATTGTGAGGTAGGGGGACGTTGTCCGAACTACTTGGACTTCTTACTACTCGGAGGGCTTGGAATCCCTTTTAGGGGGTGTGCACACTTAAGGGTGAAGTTCAGTTTCCAATTGGTGGTCGATGGGAGCCGGAATTCCGGGATGAGTCGTACGTCCTAATTGGGCTCGAGGAATCTTGAGTTTCGCCCATCCTAAAAGAATCTGAAAGTGACATTGATTTCGGAATGGTGATATTTTTAGCTACAAAAGTTATTTTTGAAAAGTGATACTTCTTTTGAGATATTAATTAATTGTTGGGAGCTTATAAATATTATTTTTAATTATAAGGGTATTTGAGATTGTTGATAAATAATGTTTTGAAAAGAATTTCGGTGGTGTGAGTATTTTTATATATAGTATTATGTGAAAAACTATTTTTGTCAAACTTGATTATTTTACGGGGTTGGGTAGTACTTACTTAGCTCTAATGCTAACTTTTGTTTCATTTTCTTTGTTTTGTTCTCTACACTTTATTTGTGCAGGTAATGATGAATATGAAGCTCATGATGTTTGACGAGCCTTGAGAGCGTTTTAGAAGATTTATGTGTAGCCTTCACTTAGTTTAAATAATGTTATTAAATTTTGAATTTAAGTTTTTAATTCGGTTGAACTCGTGGTGGATAGCCTCAACATCCAGCCAAGTTGAGGGCTGGGTGTGGCGGTAACACATCCTTTTTCCATTACTGTTATTTCCGCTGCAAAACTCTATCTATTTTTAAGGAATAAATCAATGTTGTTATCAATATATTATTATTTCAAGTATTATTTTGGGCGGGAAAATGGGGGTGTTACACGGCGCCCTTCCAAGAGCTCCTTCGAGAATGGGGAATAAAGCACCGTTTCTCCTCCGTTGCCTACCCTCAAGGCAACGGGCATGTGGAGAACGCCAACAGAACCATAATGGAGGGGCTGAAGAAGAACCTACAGGACGCAGGAAGAAGTTGGGCCGACGAGCTCCCCAACATCCTGTGGTGCTATCTTACTACGCCGAGGAGGGAACCGGGTGAAACACCTTTCGCCCTGTGCAACGGTTTTGAAGCAAAGGCACCCACGGAGGTCACCATTCCCAGCCGACGGGTGGAGCAGTATGACCCAGAGGTCAACGAGGAAAACATGAAAATCGACCTCCACCTGGTCGACGAAAGACGTGAACAGGCATTCATCCGAGCAGAGAACTACCGGCGTCAAGTGAAATCATACTATGACGCCAAGGTACGTTCCCGAGAATTCCAAGTGGGGGACTACATCCTCCGGCGAAGGGAAGCAAGTCAGCCGACGGAAGGAGGCAAGCTAGCCTTGAAGTATGAAGGTCCCTACATCGTCAGTGCCGTGGTGAAACCCGGTACCTACAAGCTTAAACGCTCCAACGGGACCAATGTACCACAAACGTGGAATGTACACCATTTGGTGAAGTTTTATCAATAATTCGAAGGAGGTGCAGCCGACGAAGCCCTCACCCTTTGACGGGTTATTGATCGAACGCCACCCTCGGCCTTGAGCCACTTTTGAAAAAAATCATGTTTCCTTTGATTTCTTGGAATTCAAGTACCACATTAACAGACACCCTCATCGGCCACCTTAAAGTGAAAGGCTCAGGCATGGCCGATGTGGCGCTTCGCATCTGCGGCCTTAGAGCGAAAAGCTCAGGCACGCCCCATTGTATTTTGTATCAGCGAAAGGTTTAGGCCCAGCTGAGAGAGCACGTCGTACCGGCCCCTCAGAGCAAATCACTCATGTAGGGTTGACGATGTCCCCAGGATGATGGGCCCGCAAACGGCCCACGTCTTAAAACGGGAAGTTCATCGCGTCGTCCACGCGCCTGATCGCAGGACGACAGGCCTGAAATCATGGCCGAGGTGACAAAATCCCCAAACTCAGGGATGGGCAACGGCAGCCGTTGGAAACCAACAAAAAGTCTAGCCCGCGTCATAAATAGGCGACAAGACCCCCCCCCCCCCCCCCCCGAGATCATGGACGTTATAAACGAAGTCCAAACCGGCCGGAGGACTATCGACCCCTTCGGCTGAAGCTTGAAAGAAGGACACTCCCCGAAATAGGGAACAAAAAAAAGAGAGAAGCTGAGGACTGCGCGCACTTGCCGGCCTCGAGCAGTAAAAATAAATCCCCACAAATCAGCCACATTTGGCTAAGTACATATCAGTTGAATACAAAGATAACACTACCAACAGGTAACGTGGACGAAGCGCCCACCCACTACAAGGAAAGTGTCAAGGACGGAGCATGCGCCCATAAAATCCTAACCAAAGTGGTTGGGTGAAACGAGGGTGGTAACCTTCATTGGCCATGACCACCTGAAGGGCCAACACTTAGCATGAAAAACAAAGAATCATGGTTTGACACTTAAACACAATCCTGAAGTTGACCACCGGAAAGGAGGCCCAGGACGAAGCGGGCAGTAAAACACCCGCGGGAAAGTTAAACACGAGTGGCAACCCCTACCGGCCACAACATTCTTGCTGGCCGTTACAGGCGCTAAAACCTAGGCGGTTGGTCAAGATGAAAATCTTTGGAAAAATTTGTCTAAGTGATTCCCAAACACTTAGGGAAAATTTCTGAGGAAAAAGTTCCCTGAGTGAATTCCAACACTTCGAGAATTTCTTGAGGAAAGCAAACGCGAAGGAAAAGACAAACACCTAGGAACCCTCATCGGCCACACCGCCCAACTTGGCCGACGACAGTACTAAGCAGACAAACTACACGGCCTAACACTTGGACAATCTCCTCAATGAAGGGACAGCCTCAAGACGAAGCGGGCACTCAAATACCTGTAGGTGCACGTCTCGGCCTCGCCAACGGCCGGTAAGGTCTTGCTAACCGTTAAAGACACTACGACTAAGGCGGCTGCTCAAGTTGACACTCAGTGGACTCCAAACACTTAGAAAGTTTCCCGGAAAACACAAATACCAAAGGCGTGGCCGACGACGGTACCACACAGAAGAAACTACACTTCGGCCATGACACTCAGACGGCAAAGGTCACTTACCCTTATCGGCCACAAAACAGAAATCCAAGCCGACCTCCTGTTTAGACAGGGGGCATGGGAACAAAGGGGCCGCAAAGAACACCGGGCCGACAAGAATACCACGTGCGGCATTGGCTCAACACTTAGGAAATTTTCCAAAGTATCGGTCAAAAGTGAAAGGAGGCGTAACATCAAGACGACGAGAACACCCACCCACTTGAAGCCCTGATACTTAGAGAATTTCCTAAATCCCAATTCCAAAACACTTAGACGAATTTTGGAAAGAAAAAAAAACAGAGGAACCAAACAGAGAACAAGACGACAAGACAGCAAGGAACTTAAACATGTTTCATTAACATAAATCATTACATGGCGGGCACTTCGGCCGTTACAGTCAAACGATGAAACATAAATGACAAATTATAAGTTAAAGGCAGTCATGGATGATCACGCCTCCGTAGCGGCCTCGTCGGCAACGTGACCCGCAACGTCCTCCTCAGCGACAAGCTCGACACCACCCTCGGTCTCAGCATCCAGGCCGGCCTCTACGGCGGAAGTGGCGGTGTCGTCCAAGTAATCGTCCTCGTCATACTCCGATTCGCCGAGGCCGGAACTCTCTATGGGAGCCTGCCTATCGCACATAGGAATGTTGATCTGCTCCTCCAGATCCTTCATTAGCTGAGGAAGTCGTAGGTTCCGCCTGGCCCAACCCCGAGTGTAGTTCAGGGTTCTGAGAGCGCGACTCAGCCGCCGATAAATGAGCCTCTGCATCCGATGTTGTACCATGTTGTAATACACGAACATTTCCCGTTCAAAATATTCCTGGCCGGCAGGGGAGTTCTGCCCCAGTCTTCAAGCTTGGCCGCCACGACCTCATAGCACCAGGGCAGGCGCTCGTCGGCCTTCCAGCCTTCGGCCAGGAACTTCGCCACTGCATCATCAGCGGCCTTCACTGTCGCAGCCTCAGCTTCGGCCTTAGCCTTCTCGGCCTCATCTGCCCGCCGACGATCAGCCTCACGGGCACCCTTCTCCTCGGCCAATTTTGCCAGGGCCTCTTCCTTGGCCACATCGGCCTCATCGGCCCTCTTCTGCAAAGCGGCAAAGTCTCCCCGCAGCCTCCCCACGCAGCTCATGGCCTCATCGGCTGAGGCTGCCTTCTCCTCAAACTCCTTCAAGCGGGCAATCTCCCGCTGCTGGCTCTTGTTGCTTTCCATGAGCATAAAGGCACCCTGCAACGGAAAAGGCTATCAGGCAAATGTGCAAAAATATCAAAGGAAAACAACAAGGCTAAGGAAGAAAGGAATTACCTGGACGACAAGGTCCATACCACCGTCATATATCTTGACATCCCCCAGCTTGTCAAGATACACCCGGTCCTTGGCCTGAGAGAAAGGAAGAAAGGAATTGCCTGAGAGAGCACGCTGTGGCCGTCAACGCCATCATTGAAAATCCCCCCGTCCTTGGGGTATTCAATTTCCAGCTTATAAGTGGACGTAGCCACCACCTTGCCGGACCGCTTCGGCCGGGAGTCCTCAGCAAGGGAAAGGGGTTGAGAACCACCTCCGGAAAGACCAGAGCCAAGGTCCACGAGGGCAGCCGCAGCACTGGACCCTCCTTCGTCTGCAATCGGGACGGCTAGCACGCCGGCTTCATCGGCAATGGCAGAGGACGACGCTTTCTTCGACTTCTTAGCGGCTTGCATACCGGCCTCAATCAGCTTCCTCTGGGATTCCTCCGCCGACCGTTTTTTCTTCGGTGGGGGAGGTGGCCTCTTCGTCGCATCACCACCAGCAGCTGCCTTCGTCGCAGCCTCCTTGGCGGCCAGCTCCGCCTTGGCCCTTGCAGCGGCCTTGTTCATCACGGATCGTCGATCCATTACGAAGTCTGCACAACAAAGAAACAGGTCAGCAAAATAAAGACAAAGCAAAATAAGGACGCCGTAGGGGGTATTACCATCAGGCTCGGCAGGAACTCCCAGATCGGGGCCATCGGCCTCCTCGAAGGTCATGGTCATCTTTGGCCATAGTTGGAGGTCGTCTTCCTTATCACCATACACGAAGTATCTAAAGAAGCCGATAGCGGTCATCTTGTACTCCGTGATATAGTCCTTCACACTCCTCGCCCCCCCCCCCCCTCCAAGAAGGCCGCCACCTGAGCATCGAGGATTGAACTCTTGGGCGGGTCATGAAGAGTAAACCTTCCATCATGGCCGACGGAGGGGAACTCCGTGCCACCCTCGCCCAGGGACACGAAGACAAACTTGCTCTTCCAACCGTGTATGGACGAAGGCAAGTCCGTGAATGTCCTCTTCTTCGGCAGCTGCTGCAAAGTGGCGTAGCAGGCACAATTCTTGTGGCTCCCTCGGCCAATCTGGTAGAGATTCATGAAGAGGGCCGTTGTCGGCGTGTAACCCAACTCCGCACAACGGAGAAGGAACCCCACCATCAGCGAGTAACTATTAGGGGTCAGCAAGGCCGGCGGAAGGGGAAACCTCAGCCCCTTAGCGAAGCTCATCGGATACACCCCGAAATATCCCGGCGGCGGATTAAGCACGTGGTCCGTCGGCCTAGGCGCCCTGACCCTCCCAAACGGCCCCACATACATCTGTGCGACCAGATAATCAGCGGCACTGCTCTCCGGCTTGATGAGGAAAATGTTGGTAAGGTCCAGGTAAGAGAAACCTGACCCCTTCTTCGGCCGCCTGTTCCTCTTCGGCCGCGGCAGCCCCTTCACGGCAGACACCGGCTTCGGGCACAGAATGGTAGTAGAAGCGGACGCCCCGTCCACTACGCGGGAGGCCCCTACGTCCTCACCCTCATATGACGAAGCGGACCTTTCGTCCTCGTCCTCCTCGTCCGCATTATCCCCGGACTTGTACGGGCTCAGGTGTTTGATCTCTTCGGCACACTCCTCAATCACATCGTAGTCAAGAGACTTGGCGGAAGGCTCGTCGTCGTACGGGTAATACTCCTCGTTTAAGGATTTCATCTTAACAAATCCTAAGGCACTAAAGGGAGCTGATTCTGATCTAAAGTGTTTTTGTGACTAACATCGGATCAAAGCCTAGAAAGAGCGAAATATGTAAGAAGTAGAAGAACGGATTGAAGAACTAACCTTGAAGTTTTGAAGGAGGTGAAGAACACTCAGCAAGGGCTTTATCTCTCTAAAAATATTTGGGCAGCACTTCGTTACTCAGGATGCAAATGAGGCCTGTCCTCGGAACGGGGAGGGTATTTATAGCCCACCCTCCTAACGGTAACTACACGTGGCATCACCTTAGTGGCCACACCAACGGCCACCAATGGGATGCCACCATTCTGTCTACAGGCCAAACCCCCTCCACAAATCAGCGGCCCACCACCGAAGCAGGCCCTACGGATCAAGAAGGGAAAAATAACACCCACAACGGCCAAGGCATTCAACGGCCAACACAGCCTACGGCTACCCAGGTAGCACTCGTATCGGCCATTCAAGGGGCCACGCATAATGCAAATGAAGGCTTTACGACGTCCACAAAACCCCAAGGGAAAGGA